GGGGGGGCCCCCCCCCCCCCCCCAAGGAAGCGGCCCTTGACCCGCAGGAGCCGAGTCGGCATGTGTTGCCAGGTCCTGGTGCGATCGCAGGCTCCCCACTTCCTCCCCTACGGTGCTCAATATCAGCTTCCCCACCACGTGCTTTGCTAAAGTCTTTACTTCAGCGCTTACCCTGGTGGGGGCCCCCTTCTCCCAGTGGCCTAACTTGTGGGACCGTTGGAGGGCTCTTCTGGAGCTTCTAACTCAACTCTTGAAAATATCTGGCTTTTCTGGACGAGATTTATGACTACTGCCACCACAGTCTTTGAAGCTGGCCTTAAGTTAGGCTTCACCTTCGGTTCTTGGATTTGACAGTGTTTTCAGGTCCTGCCTTGACCCCCAACTAAAGCAAGTCTGTCGGCTGCACTGGAAGGGTGTGGAGAGGAACACTGGTTTTAGGGTTGTCACTAGCCAGGCTGCTCTTTCCCAGCAGTTGACTGCCACTCTGGGCAGATGTCTCATTTGCTATTTTCTCTTTCCAATTCACCTTTCCATTTTTAAAGGCCACTCAAGGACGTAGAAACAGCTTGTCTTGGGACTTTAAAATGGTTTTGACAGGCCAGGCATGGTGGGGCCCGCCTTTAATCCCAGCAGAGGCAGAGGCAAGCTGATCTCTGTGAAATCAAGGCCAACCTGGTCTACATAGTGAGTTCCAGGACTGTTCGGGCTACAGGGAGACCCTGTCTCAAAAAGAACAACAAAATGGTTTTGACAATACAGTTGGATGAAGGTTTTTAAGATGCCTTTGGTTAAACCTTGCTTGGTTTTTCTGGATTCCAAAGGGCACCAAAACATCTCAGAAATCAAACTTAAATTTCAGAGTGGATCCTAAGGAGGGCATATACAGAGTACTGCTTTTGTAGCACAGTGGACATTTAACATAGTACCCTTATTTTTGATTTTAGTCTTTGATATTAGTAAAATTTCTCCCTCTTAGAGTTTACAGCTTTAGGCACTTGTGACTTCAGATACCCATTTTGAAACAGGTCACATTTCCTTGATAGCTACTGAAAGCCATGAGTTCCCTGAATCTTAGGAATTGTAGATTAATTTTCCTTGGCTTATATACTTGTTTATAAGGAAATAAGTCTACATAAATTGTGATTACTAAGATCTAATTAGGGTGTCTGGGGAAGGGAAGAAGGTAACATTTAACAATGTATTAACTTAGAGTCAGCAATTCTATGTGTACCTTTCCCTTTGTCACTGACGCCTATAAATTTCTTCTCTTCTGCTTCCCATGTGCATATAGGGTGCCTTAGGGAGAGCACCCTAAAGTTTATGATTCTATCTTACATCTGTGAAAAACCCAACACCTCTGTCTGTCTCTATGTGTGTTTGTATGTGTGTGTGTGTGTGTATACCTTTGTATATTTTCAGTTGGCAAATAATTTAAAGGAGAGAAGTGAGTGTTGACTCTTTCTTGAGACATGGTCTCCCTGTAGCCCCAGCTGACCTGGAACTCTGTGTAGACCAGGCTGGCCTCAATCTCAGAGCTCCATCTACCATCAGAATGGTGGGATTAAAGGAATTCTGGGATTAAAGGTGTGTACCACCACACCCAGCTGACCTTTTTTTTTTTTAAGTATAGGAAAGGAAGGTAGAAATTATTATAGGTGGGTGGATTCCAAGACACAGAACTTTGTTTCCTCTTTCAGCCTTAGGACAATGACACTCAGGAATATTAGAAACTTGGGCAATAATTGGGTGCTAAATACATGCAGAGCTCACCTGGCCGGATTCTCTCCCCAGGGGTACTTCGATCTTTGGTGGAAGCATCAAGCTCAGGTGTGTCCGTACTGAGCCTGTGTGAGAAAGGTGATGCCATGATAATGGAAGAGACAGGGAAAATCTTCAAGAAGGAAAAGGAAATGAAGAAAGGTAAAGAAGAAAAATCCCTTCTTATCCCATACCATTGAACCCCTATTCAGTCCTCTGTTTTATTTTCATTGTAATTATGTTACCCCTACCACATCGCTATTGAGATATTTGGAAATTTGGAGTGGCAAATGGGATGGATAGTTTCTTGCCCAGTCCAAACTGAGTAAACTTAAGCAAGTCCCGAAAATAAAGTCCTTCAAATTTTCTAAGGGCAATAAGGACCCCTGAGAGAGCAAGGCAGTAAGGCTGATGATTCTTTTTACAGGTATTGCCTTTCCTACCAGCATATCGGTAAATAACTGTGTATGTCACTTCTCCCCTTTGAAGAGTGACCAGGACTATATTCTCAAGGAAGGTGACTTGGTAAAAATGTAAGGCTAAGCCATTCTAGAGCATTTGTCTTTTTCCTAAACATCTCTGCTGTGTCAGTTCCCAATGCAGTGCTCTTCTTGCCTTTCAGTGACCTCGGGGTCCATGTGGATGGCTTCATTGCCAATGTGGCTCACACATTTGTGATTGGTGTAGCTCAGGTAGGTGACATGCTTTGGACTCTGTAAGGTGATACTCAGCCATTTGCTTCTTTGCTCTGTTCTGCAGTACCACATATATTTTGAGTCCCTAGAGAAGGAAAAGTTTTCTGGTTTTGTTTTGTTTTTTCTTGTGTTCCTTGGCTGGCCTTGCATATGGGTATATAAGTGAGCTTTCTAGAAAGACACAGATTGTATTATTTTCTTATCTACAGGGGACCCAAGTGACAGGGCGGAAAGCAGATGTCATTAAGGCAGCTCACCTTTGTGCTGAAGCTGCCTTACGCCTAGTCAAACCCGGAAATCAGGTGAGATGTTTTCTTTTCCAAAGCTTGACAACCTAAAACGAGCAGCATCTATATACTTATTCTTTATGGAACAGTCAGCCTCCCTAATAGACCCCTTGGGAAACAGCTTTTTATGATTATTTACGTCTTAAGATTGGATTTCTGTAAAGATAGGGCCTAAAAGGCTAAATACTAAATTTAGCAACTAAATGTGAGTGGCAGTTGTACTTCCATGCAAGGTAATGGGATATAGACTTTTTTTTTTTTTTTTTTTTTTTTTTGGGGATTGAGGCAGGGTTTCCCTGTATTCTCAGCTGCTGACTTGGAACTATGTAGACCAGGCTGGCCTCAATCTCAGAGATCTGCATGCCTCTGCCTCCCAAGTGCTGGGATTAAGGTATACGTTGCCACACCAACTTTGTAAAGTGTAATTTAAAAATAATTTAAGGTATATAACTAACACAGGCTTAAAAACCCAACTTTTATGTGAGTTGGGCTTTAAGACAAAAGGTTACAAAATGGAAAGAGATTGTACCAGTAAATCCATAGCTGAGAAAGGCCAAGTTTTGTTCTGTACTTTGCAAAAGTAGTATTAGGAAGACTAGAGCTAGTAGAATTCTTGTGAACTAAATAGAATTAGGCATGCTAGATGGTCAAGAAACTCATTTCTCCCAAGGTTAAATTGCCAGGGGCCCACTGGAAAGCATTGTCTTTTTGTGTGATTCTTGCTGTGTGCTCTTGTTCCTTCATCATCTTCATGATTACTTTTTTTTTTTTTTTTTTTTTTTTTTTTTTTGTCTTTTTGAGACAGGGTCTCCCTATAGCCCCAGCTGTTCTGGAACTCACTGTGTAGACTGGCCTTGAACTCACAGAGCTCCGCCTGCCTCTGCCTCCCAAGTGCTGGGACTAAAGGCGTGCGCCACCACGCCCGGCCCAATTACTTACATAATTTTTACTTTAAAGTTCTGCCTTAATTTCCTTATAATGATTCCTAACTCCAGAGTTGTTTTCAAACCCTTGAATAGTACCTGGCATATAATAGGTACCAAAATTACTTTTTACTCTTTATTTTGGTTATGTGTTGTGTAATGGCTAGTATACAGCTATGTAATCAGATAGAATCCAAATACTTAACCATTCAAAAGTAATCTTATTTTCCTGGTGTTCTTGTCTCCACCCACCTCCCCTGGGATCACAGCAGGTGCCGCTACACCTTGTCAAAAGTAATCTTGAGCACAAATTTTTACTTGTAAAATGAGAAAAATAAAATTGTGCCTTATTCTTAATGACTTGTAATAATGTTGTAGATTTTATTTTGTTTTGTTTTTGAGACAGGGTCTCACTATGTAGCCCTGGCTGACCTGGAACTTCCTTTGTAGACCAGTTCACCTCCGGCTAACTCAAAAAGCTCTGCCTCTCAAATGCTGGAATTAAAGGCATACACCACTATACTTGGCAGCTGATTGTAACAATGAAATAACCATATAATGTGCTTATAGTAGCTGGCACATAAATAAATATTTAAAAAATGCTAGCTATGGCTCTTGTGGCAAAGGGGCTAAATTAGTAACTTACATGAAGATCAGATCATATTTGGAAATGACTTTTTTTTTTTTTTAATCTTTTTGAAGCAGGGTCTCCTGTAGCCCCAGCTGTCCTGGAACTCACTATATAGACCAGGCTGGCTTTGATCTCACAGAAATCCGCCTGCCTCTGCCTCCCAAGTGCTGGGACTACAGGTGTGCGCCACCACACCTGGCTCGAAAATGATTTCTTTTAAAAAAGGAAAATTAGGGCCAGCAAGATGGCTTGCTCAGTAGGTAAAGGTGTTTGCTGGCGGGCCTGCCAACCTGAGTTTGATCTGGACCCACTTGGGACTGACTCCCAGAAGTTATCCTCTGACCTCCACATGCACAGAAGTATACACATGCACAACTAACCAGTGTAAAAAAATTTAAAGAAAAAAATAAGGTTTGCTGTCCCATCTCAACAGGTGGAATGCTAAGTGTACAGGAGTGAACACTGGACTTGACACTGGAAAACTTGAGTTTATGTCAGGGTTCTCTAGTAATGCCTTGGGCAAATCAGTTAGCCTTTGTAAGGCTGTTCCATCATCTTCTGGATTGGGATATAGACCCTACTGTGTTCTTTGAGAACTGTTGTCTAGTTAGATGATCTTTATGAATGTTTTTTCTTTGCAATTTTATTTTTATGTGTATGAATGTTTTGCCTGCATATATGTAAGTTCATCACATGCATGCCGGTGCCCTTGGACGTCAGAAGGCATCGGATGCCCTGGAACTGGAATTAAGGACTGGTGTAAGCTACCATGTAGATTCTGGGCTTGAAACCTGGGTCCTCTGGAAGACCAGAAGTGCTCTTAACCTCTAAGCCATCTCTAGCCTCTATGAAAGCATTTTGAAAAATATTTTATGTGTATGAGTATACTGCCTGCATGTATGTAAGTGCACTCCGGTGCCCTTCTTCTCTGTATCCTTCCAATGTTAGTGTGTGCGAGCACTGATGAATTTTTAAAAAGTATACATGAAATTATTTTTAGTTTATAGGAATGGTGAGGTTGTGAAATGGAAAACAATGAGAATTATTGGCACTTGAAGGATGTTAGAGTACTCAGACTAATAAGTTCTTTACCATGACAGTAAGTTTGAAGGAACTTATATCTCAAGGATGGACTTGATGGGGCACACCTTTGATCCCAGCACTTGGGAGGCAGAGTCAGGCAGATCTCTGAGGTCAAAGCCATCCTGGTCTACATAGTGAGTTCCAGACCAGCTGGGGCTACAAGGAGACCCTATCTCAAAACAAAAACAAAGAACTGATATCTCACCTTTTATTTGATCTTGTACTTCTAGAACACACAAGTGACAGAAGCCTGGAACAAGGTTGCGCATTCATTTAATTGCACGCCAATAGAAGGTGAGGCCTCAGATAACAGGGTTGAAGGTCTAACAGTGAGTGGCTTAGTAGGATCAAGGGTTTAAGGGTTTTGTTCCCTTAAAGATCCATCGTGGCTCTAGCTTATACTAAACCCGAAACCATTCAATGCTCTGTTTGAAAAGTTAAACATACTGTACCATCAAATTGCTTAGGATGTTGGATTTAGAAGCTCTTGGGATTCTGGGTAGCTGATACCATAGGCCTTATCCTGTCTACAGGTATGCTGTCACACCAGTTGAAGCAGCACGTCATCGATGGGGAGAAAACCATTATACAGAATCCCACAGACCAGCAGAAGTACGTGCCAACCCCATTCTTTGCCTTTCACCATACTGTACTAGTCAAGATTTTTCCATACCCCTAGCTTGATCATGATCTTCTACTCCAAACTATTTAAGGCTACTTATTACTGTTTTGTTGTTGTTGGTGGTGGTGTGTATTGTATCTGTGTTTGTTTTTTGTTAGGGTCTCACTATCTATGTAGCCCTGGGTGGCCTGGAACATGCAATGATCCTTCTATCTCTGCCTGCGAGTGGTGGGAGTACAGGTATGTGCCATCACATCTGGCTTTCTAATTACTCTTATGGTTCTCTTTCTGTTCCCTTTAGAAAGGACCATGAAAAAGCTGAATTTGAAGTACATGAAGTTTATGCGGTAGATGTCCTTGTCAGTTCAGGAGAAGGCAAGGTAATGACATACCAGAGTTAGCAGGGAAGGTGGCTGAGGTTGTGTTCACCAGACCAAATGTGACCAGATTTAACTCTTTCAGGCCAAGGATGCAGGACAGAGAACCACCATTTACAAACGAGACCCCTCTAAACAATATGGCCTGAAAATGAAAACTTCACGTGCCTTTTTCAGTGAGGTGGAAAGGCGTTTTGATGCTATGCCCTTTACTTTAAGGTACTGTACTTAAAAGCATGAACAGGACATGAAACCAGTCTGACTCAGTTTGTACACCCAGAAACATTTTTCCCTCCCTTGGCCTCCCTCCCTCTCCTCCTGCCCAGACTTGTAGCTCCTGCATGAATGCATGTCCTCTCTCTCTCCCCATCTCCTTAATGAATGTGATATAGAGGAGCAACCCCCAGCATAATTTCTGCTAGAGGGAAGAAGTGGTTTAAAAACATACTGGAGGGCTCAGCATTTGGGAGTACTTGCTGCTCTTCCAGAGGACCTGGATTCTCTTCCAGCATCCACATGACTAGCAACCGCCCTTAACGCCAATTCTAGGGAATCTGACACCTTCTGGCTTTCATGGACATTACATGCATACACTAACACACATAGAGGCAAAACACACATACACATAAAAAATTTAAATTTAATTTTAAAAACATGCAGGAGCTGGGTGTGGTGGTAGATGTTGTGATGCCAGCACTTTAGATGCTGAGGCAGGAAGAGCAAGACTTTAAGGGTAGCATGTGCTACATTTAGCAAGACCCTGCCTTAAAAAAACAGGGCTAGTGCTGTGGCTCAGCAGGTAAAGGTTATGCAAGCCAGCTCTGGCCTAAGTTCAATCTCCAAAACCTACACAGATGAAAGGAGAAAACCGACAAAATTGTCCTGATCTCTATGCATGTTCATGCACGCGCATATGCGCGCAGGTACACACACACACACACACACACACACACACACACACACAAAAAACAATAATAAAAGAACCAATTCTGTCTCCCTCTTCCCAGAGCGTTTGAAGATGAGAAGAAGGCTCGGATGGGTGTGGTAGAGTGTGCCAAACATGAGTTGCTACAACCATTTAATGTTCTCTATGAGAAGGAGGGTGAGTCCTAAGAAGAATTTCATTTTAGGTTGTGCCCTCAAATATATGCCACCCCTTTCTCTGTAACTTCATAAAGAACTGTAAGTGCACGAAAGGAACATTTTATTCAAATGCATCTTTGTTTCCCATAGGTGAATTTGTTGCCCAGTTTAAATTTACAGTTCTACTCATGCCCAATGGCCCCATGCGGATAACCAGTGGTCCCTTTGAGCCTGACCTCTACAAGTCTGAGCTGGAGGTCCAGGATGCAGAGCTAAAGGTTGGTGAGCATGTGGCACCTATCCTGTGAATGAAAGCTCTGAAGAATTGGGATACTAAGTGTAACATTGTGTTCATTTCACATTTCTCAGAATTTGTTGCCTTCTTTCTCTTTTCCAGGCTCTTCTTCAGAGTTCTGCAAGTCGAAAAACCCAGAAAAAGAAGAAAAAGAAGGTGTGTTATGATCATCTTCTGTCAGGAAACCCTGTCATTCTATGGGCTCAGCACACTCCTGTTGTACAACTCTACCTGAACCTTGTTGTTCTATTCTACCTTTCCTAGTGGTGGTAGGCTATGATCTCACCCTCTTAACCTCTGACCCAGAACATCAAGATATTTTTTATTTTAATGACAAAAGAGTTAGAAATTGGGCTGGAGAGTTGGCTCAGCGGTTAAGAGCACTGACTGCTCTTGCAGAGGACCTGGGTTCGATTCCCAGCACCCACATGGCGGCTATGAACTGCTTTAACTCCAGTTCCAAGGGAATCTGAAGCCCACTTCTGACCTCTGAGGCAATGTACAACATGGGTGCACTCACATACATGCAGGCAATACACTCATACACATAAAAACATTTTTTGTATTTATTTTTTGGTCTTTTTGAGATATCTCCCTGTAGCCCCGCCTGTCCTGGAACGCACTATGTAGACCAGGCTGGCCTTGAACTCACAAAGATCCACCTGCATCTTCCTCCTGAGTGCTGGGATTAAAGTTCTGTGCCACCATGCCCGGCTAAAATAAAAATAATTTAAAAAAAAAAAGATTTTTTAAAAAAGGAGTTAGAAATTGATGAGTCTTTTTTCCTCTCTGTTTGGTTTTAAAATGTAGGCCTCCAAGACTGCAGAGAATGCTACCAGTGGGGAAACACTAGAAGAGAATGAAGCTGGGGACTGAGGTGGGTCCCATATCCCCAGCTTGTCATTCCTGCCTCGTCCCCTTTCCCACCACACCCCAGGCTCTGAAGTGCAGTTCGTCTTCTCCACCCAAGACCATCAGCAGAGTGGGGCCTCCCTGCCCTCCCAGTCCCCCAGCCCACCCCTTTCCAGCAAAAAAAAAAAAAAAACAGCTCCAACTGACTCTGGTCGTGGGAGGCCAGGCTTCCCAGCCACCGAAAACTACTTCAAATAGAAAAAAAGAAATTGAATAATAAAATCAGGAGTCAAAATCCATCGTCTTCAGGCCCCTCTTTAAGCCTTTTCTACTCCTCTGCTTGGTCAAGGTTTGTAGCCCAACAACAGAACAGGGAGGAGCCTAAATTAGCCTCTACCACTAAAACCTCAGCTGAAATTTTTTATACCACTCTGATATCAGCATTTTCTCATCTTTTAGGGAGGGGGTGATTTTCTGTTTCCCACTGACCTCAAGTGTTTAATCTCCCCTCAAAAGACCTGTGTAGATTTTTTTATTCATGACTATTCCAGATTCCTCATATGATCTAGGGTATCTAGTTAGGCCCCTCCCATTTTCAGAAGCTCAAGTCTCCATCTGTGAAGAGATTCTTGTCTGTCAAATGGATCCTCATTTGTAAACCTTTTAAGTCATTTTTCTGCAGGATCCCTCCATCCCCCATTTTCACAAAGTTGTAAAGAAGTAAATCCATCTCAACTATGTCTGTCTTTGGAATAGTGGGTTTTCCCTCTTTCCATCTTAAAAGAACCTAAACTGGAAGTTTCATTGTGGTTTTTTTTTTTTTTTTTTGTTCCTTGTTTGAAATATTTGACCTCCCTCCCTTGAAAGAAAAACCAAGAACCAGAGGAGTAGACTGAAGAAACAACTGGCTTTCTGAAGCTGTGGACTTGGATTGGATAACTTGCTGGGGGTTTGTAGAGAAAGGTTATAAATTTCAATACCTCTGGCATGCTGTCCCAAGGAACCAAGGCTCCCACTAATTTATGAGGTTTTTAATGACATGGCATTAAAATAAACTTGGTTTTGCTCATAATGTTACGCCTTTGGCTTTTTGTTTTCCGGTTTGTTTTTTTCCTTTGGTCTTTTTGAGACAGGGTCTCCTTGTAGCCCAACTGGCCTGGATTTGCTATGGAGACCAGGCTGGCCTCGAACTCACAGAGATCCGCCTGCCTCTACCTCCTGAGTGTTGGAATTATAGGCAGGCACCACCATGCCCAGCTGTTTTCCTCTCTTTTTAATGGTGGTGGTGAGTGAGAACAAACCTGGGTCCTTAAACATTCCAAACAATTACTCTCATCACGGCTATATCTTCCACAGCCCTTCCCTGTTGCTCTTGAGGAAGTTGGGTAGGGTCATTAAAAACTCAAGAAAGGTATTGTCTGAAGCTACAGTACATAGCCTGGAATTTTGATAAGTACAAAAACACTGCTGACACTGGTTAGTATATAACGTGTAGGCTAACTGGGGCTACAGGGAAACCTTGTCTCAAAAAGACTATAAAAATGGCAAAAATTCGATCAAGTTTGTGGTTTTTTTGCCTTTTTGAGACGGTCTCCCTGTAGCCCCAGCTGTCCTGGAACTTGCTATGTAAACCAGGCTCGAACCTCAACAAAGATCCGCCCACCTCTGCCTCCCAACTGCTGGGATTAAAAGCATGCGCCACCACGCCCTGCAAGATTTTTTTAAAATCTTAATTCTGTGTCAAACTAGGTTTCAGTGCCAGTCTGAGTTTGGGCCATATTTGTCTTACATCTGAGTCAAAGCTGGAGATGTACTAAATGACATACATACAGTACAAAGTAGGTTTGGTTTTCCTGAGCTCTTGAGGTAGCCTTTATGGCCTTTATTGTCACACTCATGGTAAATAGTTCTCTGGCCTCAGCCCCTCCAGTGTTGGTATTCCAGATATATGGCAACATACCAGAATGGCTTAGTGGGGATGATTAAGGGAGGCTGTAACCACATGAGGACAGAGAAGATGTAAGAAACCTAAAACTTCCTCAAATTTTCTACAAATGTGAAACAAAAACCAGATTCCCTCATAGAGTTTATATAAACTTAATCCTGGTGGATTTGTAAAATAAATTTTGAGACACCTAGCCCAGGCTATTAAATAAGTGTTATGGTTTTTATTTTATTTTTAAACTGCTGGGGTTGTTATGGGCCAGATGATAAGTAGGCTTGCTTTGCATGCTATGAAGTCCTGAGTTGAATCCCCAGTACCACCTGTAATCTCAGCACTTGGGAAAAGTTCAGTCATTCTTAACCTACCTAGCAAATCTGAGACCAGCCTGGGACACAAGAGACTCAAAAATCAACCCTTCAAGAGGGGCCAGGAGGCTGAGGCAAGAGAATCTTGGAGTTCAGGCCAGTTTAATTTAGCCAACTCTTGTCTGATAGAAATCCCTGCCTGAAGGTTGTTCTCTGATCTCCACAGGTACAGATATACAATAAATAGATAAAACTTATGGGGAGGTGTGGTAGATTACTAGGATATTTGTGAGACCTTAGTTTTAACTCCCAATTCCACAGAAAATTAAAAGTTCAATAAATTTTGCTTTTAATTTCAGCACTTGGGAGACAGGCAGGCAGATCTCTGAGTTCAAGCCTGGTCTACACAGTGAGTTACAGGGAGACCCCGTCTCAAAAAGACAAAAAGAAAATTTAAGGGCCAGGCATCTTGGCACTTAGGAAGCAGAGGTAGGTGGATCTCTAAAATCAAGGACAACCTGGTTGGTCTAGTAGGCCAGCTAGGGCTACTAGGAGACCCTGTTTCAAAAACAAATGTTAAACTGGGTTTGGTAGCTCGGCCTTTAATCCCAGCACAGAGGCTTCCAGGCACAGGCTCATACAAACGTGCCTCACAACACATCTTCCGGGCGTGGTGGTGCACGCCTTTAATCCCAGCATTTGAAGGCAGAGGCTGGCGGATCTCTTGAGTTAGAGGCCAATCTGGTCTGAATAGCGAGACCCTGTGTCGAAAAACAACAAAAAACCCCACCGTGACGTCCTTTCGTTGCATGACAATTTTTCTAGCTTGCCACTTTATATGTCCCATGTCTGAAATTTTAGGACCTTTGAAGTTCTGAGACAGTATTTACAAGATAGTTTAGCTCGGAAAATAGCCAAAGCAATGAAAAATCAGGAATTCTAATACGGGGGCACACCTATTCGTAATAACATGGAGGTATTTACCAAGAAACTGCAAATCCCAAAAAGCAGTGAGGGGAAGTACGGAAGTCATTGTCAAAATCCGCGCATAATGGAAATAGGTGTTCAGGCTGAAGTAATACGACGTCCTTATAACTGACCAAAGAGAAGGTGGGCCCCAATAACTAGAGCTCAAAACATTGTTTCCTAGTAGCCGGAAGTCACCGCTACTCGCTTGAGCAGCCCCGCCCCTAGGGAGGGAGGGCTAAGAGGAAGTGACGACGCTGAGCGCATCATTAAATAGCAATAGGAGGAACGCCGCGCTCTCTCGGCCCTAGCGCCATCTTCCTTGGTGAGTTTTAGTGTTCCCTGCGTCGCGGTCGGAGCACAATCCGTTGACATCTGCCCTCCACATTTGCGTCTTCACAACTAACTTAACGGTAACCTCTTTCTCTTTCCCCGCAGAAACTCCTGCGCTATGAGAGCGAAGGTGAGTGGTTCTTGAGTGGTGAGCTTGGGAAGGAGGCGGCGGCGATGCGGGCTAAAAGCCCGCCATGGTTCCGCGACCCCTGACTCCCGCAGGTGCTCGAGTGGAGTACTTAGGGACGGTCAGCATGGTTTAGTGGAGAAGCGGAGGAGGCCGCGCTCGAACCCTGGAGGGGAGAGGGAGAGGATGGGATTGGGAAAACGGAATAGGGGCGATGGCCCCAAAACGTGTTGTTGCTAACGCTAATCTATCTTAATTTTCTTGAAATTCTCACGTGATCGGGTCGGTAGTGGAGGAAGAAACGAATGCGCAGGTATGTTTAAGGTTGCCCGCGCAGGTGGGTGGTGGTGGTACACCTTGGAAAAAGCCGGGAAGTGGTGATCGAAGCAGGAAGGCACGAAACGGTAGGACCGTAGTGCACAATCCGTCACGGTGCGGAGGGCAAACAGCTGTTGTGTGCTTTCCAGGCTGAAGCGCAAGAGAAGAAAGATGAGGCAGAGGTCCAAGTAAAAGGCTGTGCACGCACGGAAGCCGTGGGAGCAGATGCATGGAGTGCCGGAGCCCGGGACGCTGGTGCACACTGTCGACTGGGCTGCTGGCGAGAATTCGTCTCGATGCACCTGTAACTTCATCGATCGTCAAGACCACGGCCCTTCGTACCACCCAAGCAAGCAGTCCCTGCGGCCCTCCGCCCTGGACCTGTGGCATTCTGGACTAGTTCTGTTCTCACTTATGGCGGAGTGTAACCGTGTACAATAAATCATCCCTTTTGCTGTCTCAGCTGAAGAAGCAAATCGCAGTCTGTTCGGTGTTTCTTTCCAGCTGCAGTGGGTGGGGAGTCCCGTCGGTCTGGTTTGATCCGTGCTATGGAGGATGTCAACCCGCGTGGGCAGTAGCTTGGGTGGGTCTGGCCCGAGTTGGCTGTGGTCGCCAGATTTGTTCCTAGGTTCGCGCGCTATGCGCACCGCCCCTACCAATTTTGCAGTCCACGACGTAAAGGTTACGCTGCAGGGTTTTTAGATACGGTTGGGTAGTGTTGCCATGGCGACGCGCGAGGCTTGCTGGGAGCTTCCTGCTGCTACTCGCACGCCCCGTGCACCATAGAGTGTGGTTCCGGGTCTGGTTGCTAGAGCGTCCCTTCCGCAGGAAGCGGAAGACTGATAGGGTGGGCGGCCCTTTGTCGAAGCTAGAGGACCGGCAGGCGGCAGCAGCAACTACGGCGGCGGCGGCAGGTGAGGGAGGCGGGAGACTTAGGTGGAGGCCGCGCCCGGAGGGGAGGAGTCGGGGCTGGCTCCGCGGCCGGGCTCTGCCGGTCCACGCGAGGCCCCCAGGGCGGACCTAGCTCGCCTCACTCCCTGGACAGAGCCCCTTTTCTGACTGACCCCGCCGGGCGAGCAAACGCCAGCTCCGTGACGTCACAGCCCTGCCCATCCCCTCAGCCTAATGTCACCCGGTCCCCCTCGGCGCTCCGGGGGTGCTGCCGGGGCGTCCTATCCGCCTGGTCCGCAGCCGACTGCCGGCGCCGCTGCGCGGAGCCTGCGAGCTGGACTTGGAGGGAAACTCCCAGGACTTTTCGAGAACTCTAGGGTGCCGGGAGCCGTCGTAATCACCGCCCCCAGTTCTAATCTCGCCATCCCACTGCACTGTCAGATGTTGCCCTTGTCCGGCTTTCGGGTCGGCAATCCGAACCCCGACCCTTGGTCGGACTCTGATCCCTGCATCCTCCTTCATCCCTCGTTCACGGAGAACTGGGTTTTCAGCACCCTGTCCCAGCCTTTACGGGTTTGTCCTGACCGTTTCTTATCCTTGTTAATGGGGACTTCTCTCTTTGACAGGTGAAGTTCATTTTAATTTAAGGGAATCTTGAAAGCCGCAGAGCGCTGCCGTTTTGTCAGAATTCATTCCTATTTATGAAAACAACCCTCTATTCCTTCTTCCACCAAGTCTCTGGTTTTTGTTTTGTTTCTTGTTCAGAACCCAGCAGTGATGTGGAGGTGGAGACCCACAGGAGCCCCGGACTTCACCTGAGCTACCTCAGGTATCAATTCTGGGAGAATTCGGTGGGGAACAGTATCATAGTCAATTATCTGCTTACGGTGGGATTTGCATCTCCTTCAGGTTTTGATAGATGGCATTTATTATTCACCTGGTCATTTTAGTAAAAGTTCATCACCTCTTTCCCACGTGTTTATTTCATTCTGGGCCTGCTCCTTTCTCGTGTACAGATTCTTGGTGTTCCTCAGACCTCTGATCTGGTCACTCATGTTAGAGAAATCTAAAGGCAAAGTCAAGGCAATGGGGTGTGGAGTGGGATAGGTCAGTGCCTTGGAAATGGGGAAAGATATTCTTATGCCTGAAGGGAAACAGTAAACTTTTCCTACTTGAACGGCAGGGGGAGCCTGAACACTACTTAAAAAAACCTGTGGGATATCAGACACGTGGTAGCAGGGACTCCTGGTCTTGCTGGGGTGGAGAGAAGGGAGGGCTAGAATTAGGGCTGTGGACTGACTGACATGCCAGAGCTCTCTTGGGAAACAGGAGACTTAAAAAGCTTTTATAGAGTCTATAAATAAAGATCTTTATGAGGTGCGGAGTAGTGTGGTTTGATACTAGTGGGATCTTCTCATGGAGAGGTGGGTGAGAGTGAGGAAAGGTCAGTGTTCCTATAAAATCAACTCCCTCCCACCTTGATCTTTCCACAGTTTTGTCCTGAGGAAGTAGAGATTCCATCTTAGAATTTCTTTCCTTGAAGTGGAGGGGTTTGAGTGTGGTATGGGCTAAGAGAAAATACCAAATATCGGGTTTAAAGACCAGCAAGCTGGTGACACTAATACATAGAAACCTTGGCTAAAGTCCCATGGGAGAGAGATTAGGGAAATTTTATCACTGGTGTGTAGCCCTTTAGCCACAAGTTGTCAGAGCTAAGTAGCTCATCTTCGAGCACTTTTCCCAGCCTGCTCACATACCAACACACCAGTTTTTATTTCTCTTCCACACTTCAATAAGAAGGGAAGGTAAAAATCTATCACTGTGCTCTCCCTGCCCCCTCCTTGGCTGATCATCATTAGTAAGATGCAGTGGCTTCATCCCAACTCCCCTCCTCCGTTAGCCAGGCAAGTGTGAATCACCCTGACCAAGACCAGGTGCACAAAGGCGTGGGCGGGACTTCTGGCAAGGCAGTCAGTGTAGCTAGAATTCTCTTCCCTCAGATCCATCTCCAAAGTCATAGCCCCACAGGACTGCCCGCTGTATAGTCAAGAACAGTGGGATCTCTCTGGAGGACTCCTGTTTGACCCAGTTCTTTTCTTTAGCAGTCACCAAGGGTGGCAAGAAAAAGAAGAAAGCCCTGAGTTGGGGACCAGGATGCCTGACCGGGACAACTATGCCAACGGCACTGGGAACAGCGGTGGAGGCCCTGGAGGTGGTGGCAGTGAGGAGGCCAGTGGGACGGGGACAGGCAGTGGGGGGGCCACCTCAGATGCCATCTGTAGAGACTTCCTGAGGAATGTGTGCAAGCGAGGCAAGCGTTGTCGATACCGCCACCCAGACATGAGCGAAGTATCTAACTTGGGAGTGAGCAAAAATGAATTTATCTTCTGCCATGACTTCCAGAACAAGGAGTGTAGCCGCCCAAACTGCCGTTTCATCCATGGCTCAAAGGAGGATGAGGATGGCTATAAGAAGACAGGAGAGCTTCCTCCGCGACTGAAGCAAAAAGTGGCAGCTGGGTTGGGTCTTTCACCCGCCGACCTACCCAATGGCAAGGAAGAGGTCCCTATTTGCCGTGACTTCCTCAAAGGTGACTGTCAGAGAGGAAGCAAGTGCAAGTTCCGTCACCTTCAACGAGATTTTGAGTTTGATGCTCGAGGTGGAGGAGGCACTGGAGGTGGGGGCTCAACAGGCTCCGTTCCCCCAGGACGACGCCATGATCTCTATGATATCTATGACCTTCCTGACAGGGGTTTTGAGGACCATGAACCAGGCCCCAAGCGCCGGCGAGGTGGATGCTGCCCTCCTGATGGCCCCCATTTTGAGTCCTATGAATATAACTTGGCTCCGCCCCGAGGGGTAGAATGCAGACTGCTAGAGGAGGAGAATGCCATGCTCAGGAAACGTGTGGAGGAGCTAAAGAAGCAGGTCAGCAACTTGCTGGCCACCAATGAGGTACTTCTGGAACAAAATGCCCAATTCCGAAATCAGGCCAAGGTCATGACCCTGAGCTCCACTGCACCAGCAACTGAGCAAACTCTGGCCCCCACTGTGGGCACTGTCGCCACCTTTAACCATGGCATTGCCCAGACTCACACTACTCTCAGCAGCCAGGCCCTACAGCCTCGTCCTGTGTCCCAGCAAGAACTTGTGGCCCCTGCAGGTGCTCCAGCTGCTCCCCCAACTAATGCTGCACCTCCTGCAGCTCCACCGCCCCCACCCCCACACTTGAACCCAGAGATCACGCCACTGTCAGCTGCTCTGGCTCAAACAATTGCCCAGGGGATGGCACCTCCACCTGTCTCCATGGCCCCTGTAGCTGTGTCTGTGGCTCCCGTAGCTCCTGTGGCTGTGTCGATGGCGCAGCCCTTGGCAGGAATCACAATGAGCCACACTACCACTCCCATGGTGACTTACCCCATTGCTTCCCAGAGCATGCGCATCACAGCCATGCCACACTGAAGGGGCTAATGGATGATCCCCTGGTATGGCCTCTCCTGGCTGGGAACAAAGCGCCCTCCCCACTTGCCTAGCCCTCCCAGACTCTGTCCAAAGGGCCCCCTCAGGAACGAGGACAAGAGACTATAAGGAACGTACTTCCTAGGAGCTTTTCCTGAGGCAAGTTGGGTTGGTGTGTTCTCTTATCTCCCCTTTAAGAGGGTCTTGTCCTTCCTTCAGGCCTCGCTCAGTGGAGCCTTACACAGGAGATCAGACTGAAGCCAGCAGACAGAAAGGACTAAGGGGCTGTGTTCTCTAATAGGAAGATGGGGCCATCCCTGATCTTGTCTTCACTTGTGAGCAACACAGGTTCCAGCACTGCACTGGTTTGGGAAGAAAAAGATACCCCACCAGAGGGAGAGCCAGGAAAGACTGGGAAGTGGATGGTCAGGAGAGAAGGCCTTATGCGAGTTTTCAGATGATTTGGGGCCCAGCTGGATTGGATAAAACAGGAATTGCTCCTGGGCCCCTGGGAAGGCCAGGACCATAGTACTCCAACCCAAAGACCAGGGGAGCATTCACTTACCTAGCTTGGCCTGGAAATCTGTAGGGCAGGGCCCACTACTTTCCAAAGAAATAAAAGATTATTTTTTACAAATGAAGAAAGTGAAAATTTGCTTAGGGTATTCTTTGTGGAAAATGGGAATATAAAGTTGATCTCATGCTGACAATAGGGTGAAGACCTCTCATAGCTTGGGTGAGTTGGGTGGATGCCAGTGATAAAGGGTAGAGACTTAAAATGATCAGATGGGGCCTTGGGGAAGGCACTTTGTGGGATAAATGAATTGGAGCCACCTAGTCTAGTTTAAAAATAGTCCCATCTGCTTCTGGTCTCTGTCTGCATGTGCTGTTCCCAGGTTGCCTTAGTAACCAGGGCTTTTAGGGTCATTTAGGGGGGCAGGTAGTAAAGAGGGTTATGTGCTGAGAAATGAGGCTGGAGTGTTATGGCGTTGACAGATACTTCCTTATTCAAACAGAGCAGGCCAGGTGGTGTTGCCTCTCCCAGTTGTTGATGGCAGTTTATGTCCCGAGCCAGCCCTTCTTCAGGGCCAGTGCTTGAAGCCATCCAGGCTTAAGTGCAAGGAGAAGGCAGATGTGGTAGCACACCTGTAATCCCAGCACTAGGGAAGTGGCTGGGGTGGGAGTGGGGGTGGTCAGAAATTCAAGGTTAGCTCCAGCTACAGTAGGAGTTTGAGGCCAGTTTGGGTTTTTATGAGACCTTGTCTCAAAAAAAAAAAAGGAAGTTCCAGGAACACAAATCTAGGTTTAATCCCTTTCTTTGTCTCTACATAGGACCAGAGGTTTTAAGCCAGTCAAGGATCATTAAGGCCTGGGCCTCAAGCACAAAATTTTGGTTCCTCCTCAGTTTATGGCTAATGTAGGATAAATTATTCAGGTGTCTAAAGGGGCAGCAGTTTGGTTTAGAATGTGGTACTGAGCTGTTTGCTCCAGTTATCAGTCTCTTGGTTCTCTTGCCTGGTTGGTCACTCAGGTTCCACACCTGGGATTATAGACGGGGCACTAGATACATGGCCATTCACCAAAAAGGAATTAAAACAACATCAGAAAAACAAAATGGAGGCTGTCACATGCCTATAGTTCCAACCACTTGGGAGGCTGGAAAGAGGAACACTTGAACCCAGGACTTGGAGACCAGTGTTAGCAACACAGGGATGTTTCGATCTCAAAAAAGGGAATGCCATTTCTCCAGCCCAGTGGTACACACCATTAATCTCAGCATCTATGGGGCAGAAGGAGATGGATCTCTTTTAAGTTCAAGACCAGTCTGGTCTACATAGCAAATTGCATTCTAACAGGACCACACTTAAAAAGTGGGTAAATTGGGCCTGTGAAATGGCTCAGCGGGTAAACAGCTGCCACCAAGCCTGATGACCTGTGATAGAACAGGACCAACTCCCTCAAGTTGTCCCCTAACCAGGAGCCATGGTATGTACAAGCCCACACAAATACACATGCATGTAAAATAAAAATTTTTTTAGGGCCGGGTGTGGTGGCGCATGCCTGTAGTCCCAGCACTTGGGATGCAGAGGCAGGCGGATCTCTGTGAGATCCGTGAGAACAGCTGGGGCTACAGGGAGACCCTGTCTCAAAACTACTGAAAAAAATATTTTTTTTAAAGGCGGGGTGGGGGGGGGAAGCTGGAGAGATGGCTCAGTGGTTAAAAACACTGTTCTTGGAGAAGACCTGGGTTCAAATCCCAGCACCCACATGGCAACTAACAATTGTCTGTAACTCCAGTTCCAGGGGATCTGATGGCCTCTTCTGTCCTCCTTGGGCATTGCATGAAACAGGTGCACTTACCTACATGCAGGCAATACACACACATAAGAATAATAAAATATTTTTTTTAAAAAAAGGGGTAAAATGTTGCTTATGGGTTTTAGAAACATCTTGATAATGTTTGCTTTATGGCACAATTCTGGATATTAAAGATGGTTTATGAGCAGAGGAATGTGATTACAGATACCAATATAAATTCTCAAATTCTACCTTTGTTTTTTTTTTTTTTAAGCCAGGTATCTATAATGAAGTGAATTTAGCAACTGTGGATATTAGATAGCTTATATTAATGCACTGTGGCTAAAGATAACCAGGATTATATCTGTAGTTGGCAAGGTGAGTTTAATGTTCATTGCAGTGGAGGGGAGAGCATACCATTGGGATTCTGAGTGTATCTCAGCACAAAAGTGTCAGAACTTATACAGGGAGCCGGAGATGGCTCAGCACTTAAGAATACTGGTTGCTCTTGCAGAGGACCTGGGTTTGGTTCCCAGCACCCACATGATGGCTAACAACTGTCCATAACTGCAGTTCCAGGGGATTTGAGGTGCTCTTCTGACCTCCGTGGGCACTGTGTACACATGGTATACTTATGTACATGCAGGCAAAAAGTCATACACATAAAATGAAATTTTAAAAAACGTTATTAAAACTGTAGGTCTGGGGCTGGAGAGATGGCTCAGCAGTTAAGAACACAGGTTGTTCTTGCAGAAGACCCAGGTTGAAATCCCAGCACCCATATGGCAGCTAACAACTGTTACTCCAGTCCAGAGGAATGTGACAGCCTCCTCTGACCATCGTGGGCATTGCACGATACAGGTGCACCTACCTACATGCAGGCAATACACATGCATAAAATAAAAAAATAAAATATTTTTTTAAAATGTAGGGCAGATCTCTGTGAGTCCGAGGCCAGCCTGGTCTACATAGCAAGTTCCAGGTCAGCTGGGGGTACAGGGAAACCCTGTCTCAAATAGACCACAAAAAAAAAAATATATATATATATATATATATTCTCCAATTTAAGGGCTAAGGGTCAAGTTCATAGAGTGCTTGCTGGCATGGGTAAGGATCTGGATTCAAACTCAACATTGAAATAGAAGGGAAAAATTTTTGTCAGCACTAACACAAGGAGCTACTAAGTAAAAAAGTGTTCATGATTTGGATTGATTAAAACACTACATCTGGGCTGGAGAGATGGATCAGTGGTTAAAAATACTTGCTGCTCTTACAGAAGACCCAGGTTCATTTTCCAGGACTCACATGGTGGCTAACAACTATCCATAACGCTAGTTCCAGGGAATTCAACACCACCTTCTGGCCTCTGCAGGCATTGTATGACAGGCGTGCACTTACGTATATATAGGCAAAACATTTATACACATAATAAATAATTTTTAAAAACTGCATCTGCCAAACATCAGGGTGCATATACCTGTAAACTCAGCACTTGAGAGGTGAAGGAAGGAGGATCAAGAGTTCAAGACCAGGACTGGAGAGATGGCTCAGTGGTTAAGGGCACTGCTGCTCTTCCAGAGGGCATAGGTTTGATTCCCAGCACCCACATGGCAGCTATCATACTTACCTCCAATTCTAGAGGGCCCAACACCCTCTCCTGGTCTCTGAGGGCACTGAATGACATGGGTGCACTTACATTCAGGCAAAACTCTCGTAAAACAAAAATTTTAAAGTTTTTTTTTGGTCTTTTTGAGACGGTCTCCCTGTAGCCCCAGCTGTCCTGGAACTCACTATTTAGACCAGGCTGGCCTTGAACTCACAGAGATCCACCTGCCTCTGCCTCCCGAGTGCTGGGATTAAAGGCGTGCACCACCACACCCAGCTAAAAACTCTTTTAAAAAGAGTTCAAACCAGTTGTACTGGCCCACTACATATTTGAAGAGGCAGAGGCAGGAGGATCATGAGTTTAAGTCCAGTCTGGGCTACATATTTAATAAAACTGGGGAAGTGTATAACAAGCCACAACCTTAGTTGAGGAACTATTGGCAGCTGACCACTGCTGGGTGAGGGAGAGTGAATCTTCTTTAAGGAAGTGATACTAGATAGGCTGCCCAGGCTCCAGTGAATGCACTCACACCTAGGGACACCTGGGGACACAAACTTGACTCAGTAGGCCTTAACATATATGACAGAATGCATGAAATATGGTGGGGGGGGCCTGTGGGGGGATGCAGATAGGGGAGAGATCTAAATATGATTAAGGTGTATCTCATGAAAAGCATAAAAATTCAATTAAAAATATTTTTTTAAAAAGTTCAAGTCCAGCCAGCCGTGGTGGTGCAAGACTTTAATCCCAGCACTCGGGAGGCAGAGGCAGGCGGATCTCTTGAGTTCAAGGCCAGCCTGGTCTACATAGTGAGTTCCAGGACAGCTGGGGCTACAGGGATACCCTATCTCAAAAAGACCAAAAAAAAAGGGGCTGCCAAGAGGGTTCAGTGGATGAAGGGCCTTGCTCCCAAGCCTGGCAACATGAGTTCAAGCCCTGGCACACACATTGTGGGAAGAAAAGAACCAACTCCCCAAAATTGTCCTATGTCTTCCACATGTATATGGCCACCAGGCATGCACATGACACATACACACTGATATACATAAAATAAATATTGAATACACACACACACACATACACACACCAACAAGTTCAGCAGGTTAAGGCACTGCTACCAACCTGGTGACCTGATGACCTGAGTTCAGTCCCCAGGATCCACATGGTGGAAGGAGAGAACTGATTCCTGCAAGTTGTCCTCTGACTTCCAACAAATGTACCATAGCATGGGCACACTCACACCCACAAAATACCAGTTCCAGGGAATCCAAAACCCTCTTCTGACCTCCTTGAGTACTACATGGTGGACTTACATGCAGGCAATACACTCATACACATAAAAATAATAAAATATTGTCCAGGTGTGGTGGCACATGCCTTTAATCCCAGCATTCCTGAGGCAGAGGCAGGCGGATCTCTGTGAGTTCAAGGCCAGCCTGGTCTACATAGTGAGCTCCAGGACACCTGAGCTATCTCTCCAGGCCCTGCTTTTCAATTTTTACTAAGCATACTTTAAGGTTTTTTTTTTTTTTTTTCGGTCTTTTTTTGTAACACAGGGTCTCCCTGTAGCCCCAGCTGGCCTGGAACTCACTATGTAGACCAGGCTGGCCTTGAACTCATAGAAATCTGCCTACCTTTGCCTCCCAAGTGCTGTGACTACAGGCATGTGCCACCAAGCCCAGTCAAAATTTTATTTATTTTTATGTGTATAAGTGTTTTTCTGCATGTATGTA